ACTCCATAGTGGAGGGAGCGACACACGACTGCTTCTTGCTAGACCATGAGACTGTACCGCCTCCTAGCATGAAGGCATAACCTGAGGTCGATTTACATTCATCTAGGTCTGCTGCCCAATCAGCTTCACTATATCCCCGTAACAGCAAATCGGTTCCTTGGAAACATAGCATCTGACTCGAGGTTCCCCAAAGGTATCGAAAAATCCTCTTCACTACTTGACAATGACTTTGTCTTGGATTACTCTGATATCGACTAACGAGACCCACTGCATATGCAATATCTGGACACGTGCAGAGCATCGCGTACATCAAACTACTAACTGCACTTGCATTTGGAACACGAGATATTTTGTTCCTCTCAGCTTCTGTCGGCAGATACATGTTAAGACTTATAGTATGCCCTTTGTCAACTGGAGTATCTATGGGTTTTGATTCTTACATACCGAATCACTCAATAATCCTTTGGATATATGTTTCTTGTGGCATAGTAGGAAACCTTTGAGAGCGATTCAATATATCTTAACACCAAGTATGTAAGTCGCCTCACCCATGTCCTTCATCTCAAGTTTGGAGGACAACCACTCCTTCGTAGCAATAAGTTGCTCTAGATCATTCCCAACTAATAAAATATCATCAACATACAAATATAATATCTGGATGTTTTTCTTATACTTTTTAATGTATACACGATGGTCTTCTTGAAGCATTTCAAAACTATAAGTCATTATAGCCCTATGGAATTTAATATAACATTGTCTTTATGACTGTTTGAAACAATATATGGACTTGCACATTTTGTGCTCAGGCCAGAGGCTACAAAACCTTTAGGTTGCTCAATATAGATCTCTTCCATCAAATCACCATTCAGAAAAGCAATCTTCACATCCATTTGGAAGAGTTTCAGATCCATATGTGTGACGATACTAGGATTAGTCGAATCAAGGCCATTCTCACCTCCGTGGAGAATGTCTCATTGTAGTCCACTCCCTCAATTTAGGTGAACCATTTTGCCACTAAGTGGGCTTTATACTTATCTATAGTTCCATCTGTTTTTCTCTTGATTTTCAAGACCCACTTGTTTCCAATTAATCTTCTATTAGGCAGCAGATCCACAAGTTCCCAGACTTTATTCTTCTCCATAGAACTAAGCTCGTCTTTTATAATAGACATTTACTGGTCCATAGTAGGAGAATTCAATGCCTCTTGGAATGAGCTAGGCTCATCAACATCAAGTGAAATGCATGTGAAATCCTCTACTTCGAAGTGTCTACAAGGAACTTTCCCACTTTGACTCCTTCAAAGTTCGACTTGTGATTCACTCTCAATAAGTGTCTCTAGCATGGTCGGTGACTCAATATGGGTCATATACTCATTCTCAACCAGTGGCTCACTCCCACTATTATTGACAATCATTGGAAAACTCTCACTATTACCCTCAAATGAAGGAACTATCTCAATATTTGTCTGAGATTCAAGCTCTTCATAGAGCTCTTCAAACATACGAGACCGCTTCCTGTTAGAAAATTTTGTCTTTATAAAATCTACATCGCAAAGATTCTATTTCATTCATCCCGCCACCTTCACATTCTTGACAGAACACATATCCATTCGAGTGCTCAAAATGTCTAACAAAAATGTACTTGAGAGACCGCCTGTCTAGTTTCCTTATCAATTAAGAAGGGATGTGAACATGTGCAGCTGACCCCCAAAGATGTAAATTAGAAAGATCTGGCTTTCTACCTGTCCATAACTCATAAAGGGTCTTGGGAACGGATTTTGATGACACTTTGTTTAGGACATACATCATAGTAAGGAGTGCATCTCCCCAAAATGATATTGGGAGGATGGCGTGAGCCATCATAGAGCTCACCATATCCAACAGGGTATGATTCATTCTTTCTGAACTACCATTTTGTTACGGAGTGTAAAACATCATCTCTTGTTTTCAGATTCTCTTATCCTTACAAAGCTTCTTAAATTGATCAGATAAGTACTCTTGCCATCAATCAGTGCGAAGAACCTTAATTCTTCTGTCTAACTGATTGTCAACCTCTAGCATAAAACGGCGAAAGTAATCGATTGCTTGTGATTTATGCGATATTAGGTATACATAATCGTAGCAAGAATAATCATCGTTAAATGTGATGAAATAATGGGAATCGTTACTGGTCATCTCATTAAATGGACTGCAAACGTCCGAATGTATTATATCTAAAAGACCGGTTGCTCTCCTTGCTTTAATAAATGGCTTTCTAGTTGATTTTTCAGCTATACATGGTTCACAGATCGGCATGCCTATTTTGGATAAAGGCAACAATTTTTCCTTGGCTAATCGGATCATCCTATCTTTTCTTATATGAGCAAGCCTAACATGCTACATTATGGAGTTGTGTGTAATAAAAGAGGTGAAAAAGGATGACAATGTCATATAGGTAGAAGGAAGGGAAAAATTAACATCATCATTATCCAAAATAAACAAGTCATTAAACATCTTGCCATAACAGTGAAAACCATTTAAAAATATAAAGGTAGCATAATTAAACATGAAACTGATAAGCAACCGTCTCTAATTAGACATAGAACTGAAAGTAAATTTTTTCTCATTCCAGGAGCATAGACGGCGTTGTGGAGAAGAATGGTCCATCCACTTTCGAATCTGAGTTGGTAAGTTCCAACCCCTAGCACATCCTTTGATGCGCAATTTCCCATGAAGATCTTCTAACTTCCAACTGGCAAAGTTTGGAGCTCAACGAACCCTTCTCGATGTCTTGCTATATATGCCTTGTCGCTAATGAATCCACAATCCACCCAATAAATCGTAAATAAGCTACAAGCACCTGAGTGCAAACATTTGCATAGCTAGGAAAATTAGTTTGTGTCTTTCTAGGTTTAAGACATTCGCGTGCATAGTGGCCCTTCTTCTCATAATTGTAGCAAGTTATTTCAGATTTGTCCCATGTACTTCTCCCGCGTTTATGGCTGGCCTTTTTCTTTCTTCAGCCTCTTGTTTAGGTTGCTCCTTCCTTTGAGGTGCCCAATTCTTAAACTTACCTCGAGGTTTACGTCCTCGAGGCCTACTTGATTGGGCAACTAGAGCAATTCCAGCTCCAGAAGATGAGCGGAACTCATCCTCTATCTCAAGGTGATGAAAAAGTTGAGAAAAAATTGTTACAACTTCATTATGCAACATCAATAACTTTATGTTTTCCCAAGATTCTAAAAGAGACCTAAGCAATTTGAGCATCTGTTGCTCGTGACTGAATTTGTTTCTAGCTGCCTCTAGGTTACATATCATTTGAGACATTTTTCGGACATAATATGCCATGGACACATTTGGAGGCATTTTGTATATCTCAAAAGCCATAGATAAGACTCATAACCGAGCAACAAAAGTGTCAGCATACTATACTGAAGTGCATCCCACATAGCCTTTGCCACGATGAATCCCTCAAATTCACGAATGAGGTCATCAACCATAACACTTAGCAAAGTAAAGCGAATGCTATGGTCAACATTGTCTCATGCCTCATACTCACGGAGAAGTTTTTCAGCAGTACCTTGTTCAGGTTTTTACTTAATGGTAGTTAGGTGTTCAAGTGTATCTTGCTCATTTAGAAGGTATTGTATTTTTCTATGCGATATAGGAAAATTGCTCCCGCTCAACTTTTCACCTTTAGTGAAATCCACGATCATATTTTTAAAAGCCATTTTAAGTCAAAATAACAAAATTGCAGCAATTAATATGGATGTTTCATGGTTTGTTTGATCCATGATTGCACTTAGATTATCATTTTTACGCTTATTAATGTCTAACTACTTGAAAAAACTTGACCTTTAAAAGTCCTGATATGAAAATTGCGCATGGCCACATTGAACTCTTGCTTGTAATCAATACTAAGTTTCTTTCTTGGATCTAGCATCTCAAATACCTCACAATTTGCAAGCGGTGCACCTTCTTAGATGCACTCTCACAAAAAAAAAAAGCCCTTTTATGCAACCTTAAAATGCCAAAAAAAATGAAAAGTAGGGCCCACCATGCATGGCTAAGCATATGAGGTTTATCAAGATTAGTTAGCCATGATGCTCATTGTCTAGGACGCCTCAACTTGCATAGCCTATGCATAAGGCCAACACGACTATGTGGTCGGTACATAAGGTTACATAATGCACATGTCTATGGTCTTAATATAACCATCATATGCACTTTCCAACATCCTAGGCCAATCATAGCCAAGCCTTCACAAGTAAGGAGGGAACAATAATGTGGGAACAATTGGGAACCCGATTCCACAATGGCTCTGATACCAATGTTGGAAAAATACGGTCCAATAACCAAAGCGGAAGCAAACTAAAATAATCGAAAACCGGGTATCATACATGAGTGCTCGCACAACAATTTTGATGAACAAATATGGAGATAAACGATCAACTCATGTATGCACGCTCAATAACTACTAGAGCTGCCGAAATCTGTTCCACACCGCAAATCCCGAGAGAGGTGGAAGCTCATGAACACTTTAACAAAATGAGATAAGAGTAGTACAAGCTCGACTTTTTCGACAACTCTTCATCTCTCAGGGTCGGATCTTTCCTTAGATCTCAAATGGGAGAGAGATTATACTCTCTCTCTCTCTTTCTCTGTCTCTCTCTCAAGAGTTTAGCTCTCACACTTTCTTGTGTGTGTTGTAGCGTGTAGAGATCTCCACCCGTCCCCTTTTTATAATGAGATAAAGGGTTATCTCATTCATGTGGGAGTAACCTCCTCATAAATGGGTACCTTTATGGTGCATGCCATTCATGGGAAGGTAACCCCCTCATGAAGAGATGCAACCTCTCTCCACCTCCCTTCATGTAATAACGTAAGTCAAACATGAAGGTGTGTGGTCCACTTGGGTATACCCTCACATTAGAGATGCACCCACATGTCTACATCAACAAATATAGGAAACAAACCAGTAATAGCTCAAGAAGATCACCAAAACTCATATTATCTTGTCTATCATGCCAAAGATTCCAAAGTCTTCTTTTCATTTCAGAAAGGCGCTTGCAAGAAACTCGTTAACGAAAGTTCTCCATAGAAGTTGAAAAAAAATAAAAATAGAAGGGAGAGAGACTTTCAACTCAAGTTCCTATCACAATCAGCTGCCTTTCATAAGGTCACGCACTAACATCCATAAATAGTTAAAAAGACAATATATTAATTATCAAAGGAGCTGGCCAAGTAAAATCAAATTCATATAACTGACAATTTAAGAAAACATGACCAAGAATTAAAGAAAGACTTCTTGTTTCTCTTCAATAAGTAGCGTTATACATGTTGGGGTTTGTGGCCTTTGACAGCCGTTAGAGTTTGTAAAAATCATTTGTTATAGTAGGAGTGTATGTTGATTGACTAAAGGTTTGACGGTCTATGGCCATGGCCACATGTCCAAAACCTTACCCCGGGGCACGGAGCACTATCGAAAAGGATTTATAATTGATCGTCCCTTATTGAATTCGGAGATATACCTATGGATGGCTTGTACATCCAAAGAGTTGTGTGGTTCCCTGTGTGCAAATGTAGGCCTATGAGAATGAAGGCTAGATCATCAACAAACTTCTACACAACATATACATATGACAGCCGCATTATCGGAAACCAACCTCGAAAGGGATACGTGTCCATTTGCATAAACGGATTCCCCCTTGCACTGTAGTGACATGTACTTGACTTGCTCTTAAAGGGAGAACTAAAAACCACAATCTGGGACTGTAATTCCACTGTTTATTAGTCGGCTTTGATGAGTCAGGTATGAACTCCTGCATGAGATTGTGGGTCATACATTTCGTTGAGTTGGTTTGAGAAGACAGTTGTGGATCATAGCCACTATGTCTAGCGAGTGCCCTTATAATTACCTGTTTTGACCTATTGGTGCTAATCCATTTCTAAATATTTTAATTATGGTATCATAAATATTTTTATGAATTCAAAAAAATTAAAAATTTTAAAATCATTTTCTGCTGTAAAATTCCTCAAAAAAGGAATTTTTGATATATTTATAAGGAAGGCCACATGCAAAAGCCCTTGGATCATGTCCCACATGTGCGCCATCCTCACATGGGTGGGCCTGGAGCTCTTAGGGCCCACTTATCTCCCATGGGGGTCGCATGCCCCACTCCTCATTTTAGAAGTTTGCTTTAAGTTAAATTAAATAAATTATCTTTTACAAGAAAAGATGTCCTTTTTTTGGGGGGGAGTTAGTTCGAACATAATATTATCTTTGATTTCCAAAAATTTTTAAAGAGATAATAGAAAGTTCTAAAAGGTTTTTAAATGGTTTAATCCTCTTTACACTAGAAATGGATATGGATCAAATAGTAAAAAAATAAAACCCTAATTAGGGTTTTGAAGAGAAAAGAGGGGTACGCCCTAATTAGGTTATCGACCCTAATTAGGGTTTTAAAGAGAAAAGAGGGGTCGGTCATTTCAATCTCTCCATTTTCCTAAGTTATCGACTCAAGATATTGAAATTGTGCTTTTTTTAATTATTTCTTAGTCGTCAATCTTAACTAATTACTCATCTCAACTCCTATTATTATTAAACTTGCATTCCATAGATTCATTTTAGTCTCGCTAATTTTAAAACGTTTAGATTCTAGAACATCCATTAAAAAATCTAACTTTGTATTGATGTCGTTTCGGGTCTTAGCGATCAAAATTATATCAACCGCGAACAACATACACCACGATACCTCATCTTGTAGGTGCTTAATTAAGTCGTCCATAACTAGGACAAAGAGTTATGAGCTCAACACTGACCCCTATGTGGACCTATTGTCACTAAAAACTCACTCATTTCTCCACTAGTTGTTCGCACACTCATTAGTGCTCCCTTGTACACATCTCTTACCAAGTCAATAAAATATATGGAGATTCCTTTATTTTCCGACACCCACGAATGTTAAAAAAAGCGGAGGCGGCCGCCAAGGGCCTTGACTGCCTAGGCGGCCGGGCAGGCGCCTAGATACCTAAGCGGCCCAAAAGGAAGGGGTTGGGGTTGGGGTTGGGGTGGGGGACTTATGTTCTTTGTGTGTGTGTTTTGTGAATGTGTATGTGTATATGTATAGTGTGTGTGTGCGCATGCGCACATGTGTGTGCATGACGTCTCACATGAAATTCTTAAAGATCATCCTCTTTCTCTTTTTTTTCCTTTGGATTTGTATTTGTGAGAGAGAGGTCTCGAACACTTGGAGGATATGGAGAGAAAGAGTCTGTGAGAGAGAGGGACCTCGCATCGAACACTTGGAGCTCATCTTCCTCTTTTTCTCTTTCTCGAACACTTGGAGGATATGGGGAGAGAAGGAGCATATAGGTCCATGTGTGTAGTCTTCTTCTTCTTCCAGACCTGACATATGGAGAACGTAGAACTTGTGAGAAATATGAAAATCTCACATTTGGGTATCTATCTATCAATAGGTGCAAAATAAATCATACTGGCAGAAACCATGCACTGCATGACACAATTGAGATTGCAAGATGGAAATACCTAATATCAAAACCAACTATGGGTGAGAAGAATTTGATCTTCGGCAAACTTCTTCAGCACTTTCATCAGAAAGAGAAACCAATCATCTTCTTTATTTTGAACATCTCCAAATTACTCACCTTTGGAACAAAGGGCTTCGAAACTGTGTGCAAAGATTGAAAAGGATGTATCAAGTGCAAAGATTGAAAAGGATGTATCAAGTCCTGAGGAGCATTTGATTTTACATGCTAGTTCATGATGTTCCTTCAAAGGAAACGCCGTTTGCTCTGAAATGTTTGGACCATTTTTTGAATCAATTGGGTATCTATCTATCAATAGGTGAAAAGAAATCATGCTGGAAGAAACTATTCACTGCATAACACAACTGAGTGGAATGAGTGAAAACCTAATCTGAAAAACCTCTATGGGTGAGAAGAATTTCACCTTAGATAATCTTCTTCAGCATTTTCATCAAAAAAGACACTCACCTGCAGCACTTTGAACATCTCCAAATTACTCATCTTTGGAACGAAGGGCTTCAACACTGTGTGCAAAGAGTGAAAAATATGTATCAAGTCCCAAGGAGCATTTGATTTTACAAACTAGTTCATTACATTCCTTCAAAAGAAACGCCATTTGTTGTGAAATGTCTGGACCAATTTCTTGTCTGTGACTACTAGAAGATCCTGATAAATTCTTCTTCCTTATCACACTCCCCGCAATTGAGCTTATCCGACTTGCTGTGAGAAATCTCACATTGAAAGGGCCCCTTCGTTCCTTCTGCCTTAGCGAGTCAGGCTTCTTGAGGCATGATTTGTAATTTGGAACTGCATTGACATGTAGTCTATGTACATAATTATTGGATTCCTTCAAGAAAAACGATGAAGCGGGAAACCCTTTTTCTCTATAACAGTAGTGCTCAGCTTTAAGAGTATTTTTGGCTTCACTTGCAGATTTCACAGACTGGCTAAGCCAGATTCGCACATTGGCCTCACCAAACAGACCCTTTTTCTTTGCATATAGGACAGCCGCTTCGGCATGACATTGATGCTGGAAAACCACCTGACCAGAACCCGTATAGAAGAAAACCTTGGTTCCTAAGGGATCCAATGGCCCAAATATCATAAACTTTCTCTCCAATTCTTGTTTAGAAGGCAAATCAAAATTCTTGGGGAACTTCATATGCAGAATGATCAAAGGTTCACAATATTCAGGGCCAGGGGTATCGATGGAGAGTCCACTCACATATGATGACTTTGATGCATGTTGCATATTAATTTTCTGCAACTTGTGTGAAAGATCAGAAGGTTGGTCAAGTTTTCTCTTTCCAAGATGTATATCTACAGGTGTATCAGGTGTAGGAGCTGCTATTGAAGAACTTCTTACTCCATTTGTGCCAGTGGTTCTATCACTACTGATAACAACTGCAACATGTGGCTGCATTTCCTCGTGATTAGAATATTGAGAAATATTACGGACATGAAGATCATTTGAAACATTTCTCACTCCCTCAAAATCATTGTCTTTATCAGCAGCGTCATCTGTGCATGGTGTGTGATTACCACCTTGTGATCCATTAGTTTCATCACTTCTACCACTCACCATATCCATAACAGGAGCATCATTTAGCTGCATACCTATATGATTACCACTGTGAGAAGAAATATTGTTCCCTTGAACATTACTAGTTGAGACACTTTCCACTTGTTCGAAAACAAGAGCATTGCTATCTGGTCGGCAATTATACTCACATGAAGCCTTCATAGTGCCCAAATTTGGGATATTCTGAGAGACTGCTGCTTTGAACCTTAAGAGTGCTCGACATACACGAGATAAGTTCGAAGCCCTATCATAAAATGGATCCAGTGCAAGGCAATACAAATGTTGGATCATTTCACGAAGATGTTGTCTTAGGTTTTCACCAGAAGGATTTCTTTGAGACCTTGAAACAATTTTGACTCCCTCAGAATAATTAGCTCTGTGAGACTTCAAAACAGTGGCATCATCATATGTTTCTTGTTGGGGTTTACCAGTTTTTGGTCCCTTAGTTTCATCAGTTCTACCACAAACACTAACAAAAGTGTCATTCGGCTGCATATCTTTGTGATTGAGACAGCGTGAAGAAATCCAGTCATTCTGAACATTACAAGTTGAAACACTTTTAACTTGCTCCAAGTCATCAATACTATCAGAATCCATAACAACAGCATCTTTAAGCATTTCGTGAAGAGATTGTGTTGTGGTTTCACATGAAAGGTTCTTTGCCCTTGATCTAGCTCCATCTTTCGTCGAACAAGGAGCAGACAAAGAAGCTTCATCAAATGGGATCACAACATTATTATGGTCACTAAACGTAGCAATTCCCTCTGTTGGCAATTTACCCATATCAGATTCATTCTCATGAGGAAGAATTCTATCTATATCAGGCTCTGTTTGTATTACAGAAACAAAAACAGAACTCCTATTCACTTGTCCATGTTCTGAATCAATTCCTTCCTGGATCTGGTCTTCTTCTAAGTCATTATCCAATATAATATCATTGTTTAAACAAAACCCAATTTTTGAGATTTCAGAATAATCCACACTATTGAGAATGCAGCAGTTGCGAACATTTGTGGCCTCCATATCTGATCTTTGCATAACATTTTCAATATATGGGTCTTGCTCCACAAACTTTTTCGAGTTAGTCAAATCCTTTTCTAACAAACCTAAACGAGAAACATCTCCAATTAAAACACTTGGCAATGGTTCAAAATCTTCAGGAAACGTCCAAAGCAAGCTTAAATCCCTTCGATTAGTTACACAGGCCTCACTTTTCCCCATCAGTTGGTCTGAGAATGAACCACTGGTTCCATTGTCTTCTCCATGTTCAAGAGGCTCCTCTGGTATGTCAATATCAAAGTAGTTCCTCTCATTTTGAATGCCTGTTAGAGACTTAAAATGATCACAATTCACAGAGAGGTATATCACAAGCGATAAACAGCTCATTCTCACGGAAACATAAACGTGTATAATATCTGAAGCTTCTAATAATCAGTGATATGTTGAATGCCAAAAAAACATTGGTAACAAAAGTAAGTTATGCAGGAAAAGTGTAAATGAAAATGTAATAAACTGAGGACTGCTCTGCTCTCATCCAGCAAGCTCTCTAACACTAGCCAGCGCTAACCTCTCTTTAGCCTATCTGTCCTCTTCGCTACCTCTCAACAGTATTAGCTTTCTAACAAAGCAAGTAGCTAGCGCATCTCTTCCCTCTTCGAGGACTGGATAGTTCTTTGGGTCCCACACTTACGTTTTTTGTGGTCTCGACTTTTTGGAACCACTGGCTCCTTATGTAAATCTTTTGTAATGGACACTTTTATAAGCCCCACTCATTTTTTGTATAGGGCCTTTTTGGTCTAGCCCATTTTTTGACTAGAAGCCCGGCCTGTGGGCAGCTCGCTGTTACGATGTATTCTCCCTTAATACAACCGTTAACAATTTCAAAAAAAAAAACAAAAGAAAATGCAATAAACTGAATAAAATAGAATAACACTATTTTAGGCCCAATTGGCTTGAATCACAACATGAAAGTCAAAAGCTGTAGGCATCTTTCTCACGCATAGAAAAAAACTAATAAAGCATGTCAACAGCCATAACTCACTTTGTAAGGGGCGCATTAAAACCATTCTGATAAACCCCACTATGGACTCCATCAATCTTGATTAATTCAGGATTGTAGAGGTGAAAGAGGCAAATTTACTTAGGAAACTCTTACAAAATAAGATGCTCTGCTAAAAAAAAAAAACTCTCCTAAAATGCAGTTCTTTGCATAGAAGTATTCAATAAGTATTTAATTTTTGGAAGAAGTCAAATGTCATTGGCATGTATTGGTCACTTCAAAGAATAATATTTGGAATGAAAAAGTAAAGGGAAATGCATACAAAAGTAAAGTCAATATGGCTGGTGCTTAGAGATCTCCAATGTACTCAGCTGCGAAGTTTTGCACTAAGTTTTAACTAAAATAGAAATTATGGGTGAAAATTCACATAAACTGCCATTACTGGTGCTGGATACAAATACTCAGCATCATTTGGTGCATCAACCCTTTCTAGAGAAAATCATTGATAGAGAAAATGTAAAGGAGATAGAATATAATATACTATTCACAACGTATTCTCAAGGTCTGCTACAGTCCTAAGTAACTGCAAAATTTGCTGAAATTTTCAACACAAAAGAAAACTATCACGCAGTCATTCATCTAAAGATTCTCAACAGCAATAAAAATTATGCCCAAATTCACATGACCACCACTATGGTTATTCCCACAAACACATCCATGCGCCAGAGAGATACACACATAATAGCTGGTGAGAGAGAGAGAGAGAGAGCACTTCTCTTATCATACCTCCAGTATCATCACTGCCAGAATTGCACTCTGAAAGCCTAAGAGTTTCGCAATAAAACCAATCACGGGCAATATAATCATTGCCTCTAAAAGCTGTGACCTGTGCCATTGCTTGAACAGCACCAATAGCTTCAGAATCGTCAATCCAAGCCATAACAGCCACCTTATGAACAAAACCCAACAATTCAGATGGCTTGACCCCATTCTTATACTCATCAATTCGATTAGTTCTATAGTTCTCTGGTTCTTTGCACCCCAAAATATCAACTCCTGAATAATTCTCACCTCTTGATTTGAATAAACTCCTGCAACTACAAGAAAACTCCAATTCATACTGCCTCCTCAATTCTTCCAAAGCTATAGCTACGGCTTCTTCAAAGCCCCTAATTCTTTTCCCTTGCTTCACTTTCCCAGTAAAATGGGACTCAAAAGTGAGTACCTTGGATTGATCGAACCATTCAATAGTCTCCTGAGCAAAAAGGCTAACCAAAACTTGATGCTTTTCCTTTGCACAAATCAAACCAGGCCACCATGTGTTAGCAAAGGCTTTCACCCACACCAAATCACAATTGCTAAACCCCTGAAACCCTACCGCCTCACCAGAGCCCTCAACGAATTCCTCATCCAGATCCCTTGAAATTTGCCTGTTCTCAACCAGTTTACTAGATTTTGGTATTGCAAAAACCCTAGATATTGGAATATCATCCTCCTCCTCATCATCAAAACTCCCATTGTGTCCGGTACTGACAAAATGACTGATTCCGGGCTGGGCAAAGACGCTTGAGATTGGAAAGTTGTCATCATCGTCAACATCAATAATATCATCGCTTTTGGAACTAGTGAAACTGGAAGGACCAGAAACCCAAGCTTTTGCATCAATTGCCATGGTTTTGGAAAATAGGGGAAGCCATTGCAGAGGTGGATTTTTCTTGTAGAGAACGAAACTTGTTTTGGCGGAAAAGGATGAAACTAGGGTTACAAATGTGTTTTCTAACCCTTTCTCTTCCTTATTGCCTGCTGTTCTCCTGGTCTCTCTCCCTCTCTCTCTCTTCTCCCTCTCTCTCTCTCCTCTCTTTCTCTCTCTACGTTTTTCATGGTTGGGATCAAATGAAATTTTCGTTATCGTGTTTGCAAGACGCACCGGTTCGGCGCTGGAACCGGAGACTCAGTCTACCGGAGATGCAGGAAAAATCAGGCCGCTCAAATCCTAAGGGAAAAAGTTTATTTATATAGAGCCGGGTCTCTTAACATTCAAATTAGAGCCTATTTAAAAAATTAAAAAAATTACATAAAAATCTGTTATACTTTACGTTATTACGGATATATCAAATAGTTTCCGTTATTATATGTATGTCAGTTGTTTATCTTTTATAATGCAATTTAAAAAAAAAGACCACTTACCATTTTTCGAATGTTGAACATCCGAATTGATGGGATTTTCAGATGTTCATCATTCGAAAATGGGCCTAAAGTTAAAACGTTAAATTTCCTATTTTCGGATGCTGAACATTCGAAATTAAGGAATTTTTGGATGTTCAACATCCGAAAATACCCTGATAATTTAACATTAAGTATAACATTTTCAGATGTTGAACATCCGAATTTAAGAGATTTTAGGATGTTCAACATCTAAAAACAAAGAAGACGAAGGTTTACTTAACTATCATGGTATTTTTGGATGTTCAACATCCGAAAATCTCTTAAATTTGGATGTTCAACTTCCGAAAATGGTATACTTAACGTTAAACTATCGGGGTATTTTCGGATTTTGAACATCCGAAAATCCCTTAATTTCGGATGTTTAACATCCGAAAATAAGAAATTTAACGTTTAACTTTCGGCCTATTTTCGGATGTTGAACATCCGAAAAATGGTAAAGTGGTCCTTTTTTTAAAATTGCGTGATAAAAAATAAAAAACGGATATACATGTAATAACGGGAACTATTTAGTATATCCGTAATAATACAAAGTATAATTGATTTTTATGTAAGTTTCCCTTAATGTCATTATAAGAAGTTGTTTTGATGCCCAAATATCTTCAAAATGATCATCTTGACATCACGATGCATGGACATGAGAAAAAATGGATTTCAAGTTTTGAAAATAGTGCATCTTGTAACGTATTTTTATATTGTCAATTTTCAAGATTTTCAAGTTTTCGTAAATCTGCTCAATTTACACCATTTTTTAAGCTTTAAATATTATAATTAAAAATGGAAATATATTTTAAGGCTATCACTAAGATTTCCAATGTTGAAACCACATTTCTCAACACTATTTGACGGTGCGTTTTACTTTGATTGTTTAGAGCCTCAGCTCTATACTAGTCGCATCCAATTCTATTGCCCGGTTAGATCGAAATGGCTACTTCCGATTTTTTTTGTATAACTCTAACCGTTTTTCATTAATAAAAGACAGAAAAAATTATATCGTACTATCAGATAACCCTACAATAGGATAATTGCGCCACATCATGAAGTAAATGAAGGTTAAGAAAATCTGGAGGCCTAAAGCGCCAAATAGTGGCCTCCGCAAAAACTTTAACCTTTTTGGCAAGAACATCAAACACCATGAATCACTCTCAATTTGAAGAGGGAAGCATTCCATTTGAGTGGCTAAATCAACACCCTCTTATAAACCTCGAAATTATGTATAATTATTGGAAGCAATTCCAAGATGAACCAAAAAAGCAGCAATGAAAGGTCCATCATCCTGTCTCAAGCCCCCACAATCAGCTTGACTTAGATTCTGAATAGAAGACCCATCAATATTTAGCTTAAAATGTTGTGAATGTAGAAAAGCTCATGCCACTGTTATGAGTAACTTGATCGTTTTCTACTGCCACATATGTCATAAATTCTCAGTAATTGCCTTTTCTGAGGTGTGGTAAGTCCATGCCTTAGCATCCGTCAAATCATGAACATGGTAGGTGATTATTCAAATCAACTTCTCAAGAGTGAGTGTCATTCCTTGAAACATACAGTGGTTCCGCTCCTCCCAAATCATCCATATAGTTGTGAAGAATAAAGAATGTCAAATATTGATAATATTATCAAACTTGAACTTGAATGATAACTATTTCCGCAGTGTAGCTGCAATAGAACAATATGTAATAAAGCGTTTTCCACATCGCCATGCTATTGACCTTCAAATCTCCCATGAGAAAACATATGCAAGCAAAATATGACAAATATTACCACCATTAAAATGACAGAAATGGCACACAGAAGCAAAGGTGATTCCCCTTTGCTGCATGAGAGAAGAGGTAGGAAGATGATGATGAAGGCTATTCCGGTTTTGGTGAACTGGTGGCAAGATATTTTTAAAAAAATTTCAAAATAATTTATATAAAATCTAAAAAAATAAGAAATTTTGTTTGTAATAAATTTTTTACTATTTTTTATTATTTTGGCAAAGATTGAAAATTGTTTTGGCCATTAATACTTATTTTTATATTCTTCTATCTTTTTTTAGAAAATTTTAAAAATACACTTGGACACAAATCGAATCTTTAAAATCTATTTTTCATTAATTTTCAACTTTATTTGGATTTTTTTTTTAATCATGCTTTAAATATACTTTTCATATATTTTTTTATTTTTTTTCACTGTTTTTGCCACCCGGGACTCACTTGATTAGGCTAGTTGAACTGCCCAATTAACTACGTAGGCTAGTTAAACCACTTCTAGCCCTACTTCTGGTTAACCGTTCCAGTTTGATTTTTCCTATACTAGTACCATGGATTGGTGAGAATCGCATAACATAATACAAAAATACCGAATGTGTTTTGAATAGTGATTTAAAAATCGGCGAGTCGCAACGGACTCGCTCGAGTCGGCACGGGAATCGGTTACCCCATGCCGATTCCAGTGTAAAACCGGGAACTGCCCGATTCTAGAACGACCGTTCTAGTTTGATTTTTCCTATACTAGTGGATCGGTAAGAATCGTATAAAATAATACAAAAATACTGAATGTGCTTTTAACAATGATTTAAAAATCGACGAGTCGCAACGGACTCGCCCGAGTCAGCACGGGAATCGGTTACCCCGTGCCGATTCCAGTGTAAAACTGGGAACCGCCCAGTTCTAGAACGAACAAGCCGGTTCTATACAATGAACTGCTTGACGTCACATAGCGAATACGTACCAAAACACCGATTCTCCATAGTCCACACGTAGAAGACTACCGTCATCCATCGGGCGCACGTGGATGGCAACCTCGGGCACACGAGCACAAATCTTTATAAACTTACAAAGCAATGTATAGAAGCAAAACTAAAGCTCGCTATTGGATGTGGGATAATTCCCACGGTGCGTTAAATTACAACGGAATTTAGATAAGTATTATTAATGTAGAAAACAATTACACTTGTGCTGATGTGGTAGAGTGGTTATCACTTTCACGGTAGAGTCATCGCCATCACGTCTCAAGTTTGATTCTGCCTAGGACACATTTTTTTTTTTTTTTGTTGACAATAAAAATAAGCAGAAAATAAATTTTTTTTAAAATCTCTCTTTCTATTAACAATCTTTTTTACGAATTTTATGCTATAAATCAAAAAATTTATTTTCGTTTAAGGAAATTTATTCCATTTGAAATCTCTCTCTTTCTATTAACAATCTTTTTTACTAAATTTATTCTAGAAATCTAAAAAATTTAAAATTTAAAAAATTAAAGTGTTCTTTCAAAAATTGGTAGGCATTCTAATATATTCTAACCAAAATTTTATTTTATTTATTAATTTTTGCATTATAAATCATGTAATTTATTTTCTTTCTTACAGTTCTCAATAATATATTTTAAATTAGATCGTATACAAAATATTTTAGATTTGTTATTATTTGTACAATAAAATAATTATAAAATTTAAACCAACAATTATAATTTCAACATATAACATTATAGTTAATTAGGTTGTAATAAATTTGGATTATAGTAAGTTGGTTTGTAATACTTTGGGTTTTTTTAGGGGATTAGGGCTTTCCGCCAATTTGAGATTTTGATGGCCATTTCTTATCAATTAAATCTACTCTTTATAGTAGTCCATGTATGATTATATATTTTATCTATGACAATTATATGATTTTTCGTATGTGTGATGTAAATTTAATGGTTAACATAAGTTTATACAGAGAAAAAACATATCAATATTCACAAATTGATGAAAAAAATGAAAGTTAACAATGATGTACCATCATTTCTTATTGGATTATTAAAAGACAACATTTATAATTAATTTTAATAATTTTTTTGGATTTTTTTAGAGCTTAATTCGACCGAATCGGCCGATTCCCGATCCGAATCGTCAATTCACCGATCCGAATGGATTTTTGAAGTGCTCGATCCAGAAAACTGAACCGTAGTTTAAATCAATGGCTATGAAGACACCGGTTCAACGTGGTTGAACTGGGCCACTCGCTGTACGGTGATTAGGTGGATCGGTGAGAATCAAATAAAATAATACAAAAATAAGAAAAGGTGAAAATTTAGTGATTCTAAGGGCCTCTTGGAGCTAATCATAATTGGCCCTTTTGTATATATTTTGCTAGGTTTTGGAAAACCGACTTGTGATATTCTATTCAGGTAACTTCGTGGGATTTTGATTTAAAAATATTTAAGATTTCCTGTAAACAATTAAAGGTAGTTTCATGATTTAGCCTTATTTAAGTTATCCAAGAATATATATATATATATATATATATATATAGGTACAGGATTAAGAATCAAAAATTTATTTTTTTATATTAAAATCTCTTGTTCCATATTCGTAAACATAAACAGAAAGCGGTATTTACGTTGTTTGACTCAAGCGAGTGAGGTAAATAATGAATATGTCGTTTTTTTCGAAACGCACAAATGATGAATATATCTTGGTTGTTTAATCCTAGTAACCCGACTCATCTCCTTTTCACCAGATGTGTTTATTCCAAGTTCTTGACCATGAACATGGAGGTGTAATATAGTCATTTGACTTGAATTAAGTGGATAATTATACCATCCCTTGATACTGGTTGAAGGACTCTCTATTTTTCATTGGAAAATCCTTTTTACAAGTTCCTAACCCTAAATGTGGAGGGCAATATAACATTTTTCTCTAATTATCGTGCTTCAAGAAAAATGATAATTCTACCCCACTGTTCAAGTCAGGAAATTTTATTTTTTTTTCATTGAAATTCCCTGTCAA